GTGCAGGCCATTGTTAACGAGAGCCGCGCAGGCGAGAACGCCCTTCCCGCGATTTATGAAAGTCTGGCAAGAGCGGCCCAAACGGGCAGCGCCGCCCGACTCGTCGAGATGGGGAACTGCTGCCCGCTGCCGTGCCCGACATGGCCAAACTTGCCAGATCGAACCGTATTCTTCAATAGAAGGAACCCGTAACTTCTTTCACACCGCAGATTTGCAGAGCGAATATACTATCAGCGTCCAGAAGCGACCATGATGATGTACGTCTCCTTGGTAAATTCTGTGCGACTCGGTATCCTTTACTCGTTGGTTTTCAAAAACAGTGATGCTCGGTTATGGCCATATCTAAGCTACGCCATCATTACAAACTACCCTTATCGCTGGTTGATATTCTTATTCCCTTAATGCATGGATTATGAAGTTCACGCAAACCGCGATGTTAAATGGGGTTGTTTCAAACTGCCGCACTGACCGCTTCAGACTGCAGCAGGCTGCAGCTGACCGCACTGACTGCAACGGCCGCAGCAGCTAAAGCGTAAAGGTGGAGAGGATAAATAGTTGTGCCTCAAAGAAACATCTACAATATATACCTAAAAGTAAAAGACAACACGGTCTAGAATGTTGCAAAACAGGTATACGCAATGGTAGGAGGAATTAGAACAGAATACGAACATACCAAAGAAAAACTACCGCCAAAATTTGATTGAGAAGAATTAAGATGGAACTTTTGATCTTCTTAGGCGTAAATCAAGGTGTTTTGATAATCGCGTTTGTTTTTTTACGAAAGGAGGCAGCGACCGGTGCGGTCAGTGCGGTCAGTGCGGCAGTCTGAAACAACCCATGGGAGCGAGATTACTAGTGATATGCTTTTTTAGAACTGTGTTGAGTAACGAAGATTGATGTGACCAGTACACGAGTTTTGTGTGTATGAGTGGATGAGGTTTTTGAGGCCTGAAGTAATTGATCTACTTAAATGTCCAGTCCTTTACGTGCTAATAAAAACACACAAACTCCTTTCGTCAGATTTGCTCTCCGAAAGTCCATTAGTTTACAAAGTAAGACCCATAATAAGCACCTGCGGTGGCCCAAATGATGGAATCTCATGGCTATCGAACTTATCTTAACACAGTTATTAAAATATGTGCCTGCCCATCTTTCGGATACTAGAATGTTTTTAGAGCAGCTTAGTACAACGCAGCTCGATGGAGAATGTGCAATAAAGACCTTTGATGTCACTTCGTTGTACAAAAATGTCTCCAGTGAAGGTGCTATGGAAGGAATGTATGAGTTGCTCTTGGAACATCAATCTGCAAATAACACATATGATTTAGTGTTGGACTAATCTGACACTTTTAAAAGAACGCCTGAATTGCAGCATACAGTGCATGTTAACCACGTGCTCTCTCTTCCGTAAGCGCAATGAGCTTCGCGCCATGTGTGCGGGCGTATGGCTCGAGCATTCAAATGAGCCTCATCGATTGGAGGTGCGCGCGGAGGGTCCTTGCGTTACGCATGCGTTATTCCCATGCGAAAGGGAGTATGTAATTGACATCGACTGTATTCTGATGGTCAGGAAGGTATTACAAGAGGTACGTGGCCTAGCGATGAGGCAAAGATTGGCTCCCGTGGTCGCAATCCTTTTCATGTCAACGATCGAGAAACCCTTACGTGATCGTAAGCCGTTACTTTTTTATCGATACGTAGACGACGACTGCTGCGTCATATGTCCAACTCAAAGTGAAATAGACACGTGCTTTGACATTCTGGCCAATCCTCTAACATAAGATTCAAGCTGAACAAACCCGACGAAAACTGGATAGCATTCCTAAACGTCCAAGTGACTTTATCTTACGGATCATACGTAACTAAATGGTTCCGCAAGCCAGCTAGTAAGAATATATTGACTCACTACCGCTCTGCACATCCTTGGAGCGTGAAACGTTCCGTGATAGGCAATATGTTCAAGACAGCAAAATCGGTTTCATCCAACGTTGAATACGCAATGCATCGATGAACCTTGCCAAACAGATCGCAAATTCTAACGGCTATCCAGCAAAAGGTGTACTAAGGCATATCTGTAGGCAGGAAAGCAGACCGATCGAAATGAACCAAACAACAGAAATACCGTTCGGAATTCCATTCGTGACTGATGATTTTAACAAAGCCATCAGAGAATCTCTGTTTCAAGCGGGCGTCAATGATTCCGTCAGAATTAAGATATCTCACCTCCTAATCTCAAAAAACAACAGCCACAATCCAGCATATGACAGAATCTGCACGACTGCTGACTGTGTCATCTGCCCACATAGAAAACCATGCGAATGCATAGAATTAGGAGTGGTATATCTCATAACCTGTCAAAAATGCGGTGACCAATACATAAGAGAGACCGGCAGATCCTTGTGCACAAGAATCGAAGAGCACCTTGACGGCCTTAAAAAATCCAAAATGTCCACATTTTGGGTGCACATCGAAGGTTATGTCATGGGAACCGCTACTTTCAAGTCACTGTTACAATCTTGTCGTACGAGTCCGAGTTTATAGCCCGCAAAACGTTGAAGGCCTTTTGGATAGCGTCTAGAGCACCCAAAATGAACCGCAAAAATGAAGGCATTGCCATAAATAGCGAACTGTTCTGCTATCAAACACTATGTGGATTCTGATACGAAGTCTTCTATGACTATCTACTGGCTGTCATACTCACTCATAGAGTAACTGCAGCGCAGTACTGGTTATCCGGTCTCCATATTCCGATCAAGCAAGGTTGAAGCCAGGCTTTCACATCTACTCTGCTACTCCATCACATAGCCAAACTAAATCCACTGTCAAAACACGGTGTTTGAGCGGGCAGTTCTGACAGACAGACAGACAAACAGACATTCAGCTTTATATATAAGATGAAGTCTTGCTGCCAGCCTTGGTCGACAGCCCAAAAGCTGTATTACAGTTTGAATTTACTCGCTTGTCTGTTTGCTGAGCCTCCATTCCTACACTATTTGGATCCCTTTGAAGGATTGAAAAAAAACTTGCTCCAATCGTAATTCGCGGCGTATCGCGAAATCAGCCCTTGAGTTGCTGTATTTGATCCTCCCTTCGAGAGCGAAAGATTTTCCACAAATTCAGTTCTTTAGCAAATTGGACTGAGAAAGGACTAAAGAATTTCAAGTAAAGGGAGAGACGCGCCTCTGCTCTGCTAAAACATTGCTCTTTTTTCAACTTTGGTGAATATTCGACGTAATTGCAACGTTTGACGCCAAAATCTAGAACGACTAACCTTACAGACTTCCCATTGGTCGGATGGCCCATTGTAGGTGGAACTATAATAACATATTGCATTGATTTGATTCTGGATGAAGATGTTTCTACGACTGATGAGGGTGAAGGAAGGGAAGGGAAAAACTGGTTATTAAACTACACGTGACTTCCACGTGAGCAAATTGCTAGGATGCCCAAACCTAAGAAGTGTCTAGGCTATCCCCCATGCTAAAACTGTCAGCAGTGAAGGCAGTTTGCGCACGCACAAATGTTGTTAGCAATTGTCGATATCGCAGAGATATTCTATCGACAAAAGTCTGGTCGTGAGCTTTGTACGCTCCATGCGAATGTTGTCGGCAAATGCCGAGACCACAACGACATTATTTATGTTTACAATTGCTGTTACATCTACCACCCTATATGCAGAAGTTGTTCAGTTGTCCCCAAGCTGCGGATCGTTTTCTGAAAAGCAACCAAATGTTTAGATACTTGCTTATGCAGCATGAGTTCTGAGCCGCTAAAGCCGTGAAGGGCAACCTCTGTTTGAAGAACTGCCTAGGCAGCACTGGTGATCGTGTGAACTACTAATTCACATCCTCTTTATTACGGTGTCTACAGGATGTCTCAGTGCAAGTCACGGCGCAGCTCGGAACTTCGCAGCACCTTGCTCATGCCTTTCGTAGCGTTCGCGAACATAACCTCCGGAGTCCGGACATTTCCCGCGCTCAGCCTTCATTCGCTGAGCAGGAGAGCGCTCAGAGGGCACGTGCGAGACTGCGCAACACCTGAGCAAGGCCGCCGCGGTAATCCCAGCCTCTGGAGCTGTGATACTCACGCTGAGACAATGCATAGTCATGACATACCTTCTGGAGTCTCTTTGGAGTGAGCCCAACTTCAGCGGCTCGGGTACCGCGCGGCCGCCTCGCCTGACCGTGCACCGCGTTGGCGAACTTGTAGTCTGGACAAGCTATGGTTGGATGCAATAATTCTCCAAAATTTTTGAAGCAAAACTAGCATGGTAAGATATTTTTTCGGAGATGAATCTGGAAGACTAAAATTTTTCTCGAAATCAATGTGATTTGTAAGTTAATGGAAGTACCGCACAAAGCTGTTGAGAAGTTATCGCCAAATAATCCGATTTTATAGAGTTGTTTGGTCTGAATGTGGATACAGGGTGGTCAATACCTAAAGGCAGTGGCTCGGTAAACATAACCAAACATCTAAATTTTGTATGAAATGTTGCTTGCACCCCAAACTTTAGAACGGAGCAGATCCGAGCGCACAGCATACTGCCCCTGCCTAGAAAAATTGCCGCTTGTGCGCATAAGCCATTCTTACACGCGCTCAGACGAGCTTGCTGGTCCCGCAACGACTCTACGTCTCTAACCATAGTGGGAAGCGTTCTATTCGTCCGAATTCAAAATGAGAGGCCTTGGGGCTTTGGGAAGTGCTATTTTTCGCCATTTTCGCGCTCTTTAGGGTGCGTTTTCGGAATCAGCACGTCGAAGTCCAGGATTTGCCGAGCCACTGCTTTCAATTTCCGACAGTCACTTGAAGGTGCAAGTGCTGTTGATTAGATTCAGGAAAACAAAATTTTTTTGTTGTTCACATCATATCAAGGTATGCCAGTGGGACTCTAAAAATCGAAACTTTGGAAACAGACATTTATTTTTTTTTCATCAAATCAGCAAACAAATAACCCTTCATGTTCATTGAAAATACTGAACAATCCGTAATAAGTGTTAAACCTCATCATTTAGCACTTTTATCAAATTAACATGCTCTACATTAGTGTAAAATAAAGATATATATATATACCTATAGGCTAGTAGATTTCCCGCTTGATATAGTGTGCTTGCGACGCTGAGATTTTGCAATAAATTTTGTGTGTGAACAAGTTGCTATGCCTTTAATGCAGACCACTCGCGCGTGCAAGATTCTGACATTACAGGCTTGGCTACTTGTTCACGTGCAAATTTGCTGCAAACTCTCGGCAGCATAAGCAAACTACATTGAGAGGAAAATCTCTCAAACTTATTACTCTATTTACACCTATTTTCAAAACAAAATAGATTTTCTCCTTACTAAAGTTGCTTAGCTTTTTTGAGCGTATTTATTGAAGTCTTCATTTTGTTATCGCCATGATAATCACAGAAACCTGCAATAAGGAGCATATCATTCATTCTCTGACTAAGAGCCACGAGCACGCTTTGCGTACATCTGATTAACAAGCTTAAATGTGCTTTTTGACACGTTTTGTTATACTGCCAGAAATTCATAAGCTAGTTACACCAAGCGAGTTCAAACATGTTCTTCCACGAACTCTGCAGTAAATCACCACAACTCGTTAAAACGTGCATACACTTGTTGAACAGACGTACGCAAAGTGCGTTCGTGTCTCTTGCCCAGGGAAAGAGATATACAGGGCTTTACAACCTGAGTGTCACAGCCGCCCCGCTCGGCCGCCACGCTTAGGTCCGCGCAGCGTTCGTGGCACCAGGCTGCGCGTCGACTGAAGCTTGGCGAAATCCGGGCGATACGCAGCAAACGCGCGGCCTGAGCGAGACGGCCGCGTTGGAGGAGCCGCGCAAGCGGAGGCTGTGACTCTTATGTTGAAAAGCCCTGCAGCTTGTACCCCAGAAATGCTCCAATAAGCATCATCTACGTGGCTGCCTTTCGGTTGTTTCAACGCTTTAAAGACAGCGGCTCTGCAAAATGACATTTTGGGATATTGATGGGTTCTCCTGGATGAGCTAAATCCAGGACTGCGCTTTGCAGATTCAAAAGATATCGATAACCCGCTTTCAGACGTAAAAAGTGTTATTTGGGCGGATAGCGTATGCCTGCCCTCTAGAGCGCGATTGGCTCGTGTGTGGAGACACCTACCCATCTCGGCGGCAATTGAAATATTGGCTTCAGCAGCTATTTTCGCGACCGCCCAAACAGCACTTTTCACGTCTGGAAAAGCAAATTATTGATATCATATCTTTTGAAGCTGCAAAGCACAGTCATGGTTTAGCTCATCCAGGAGAACCGGGACGAAAATATCCCAAGCTTGTCGTTCTGCCGAACTGGCTGCCTTTAAAGGCGGTGTCCTGGCAAAAATCCGCACTCCTATTTTTTACCTTTTCGGAGCCTTCTCGCCATGCTAAACCCATATCTGAGCTTTTCAGCGCATGAAAATGGCGAATCAAAATAAGAAAAGTGAGCTCTTTTCAGAGCTCCTCACATGCGCATTCGCTGAAAAATGCGTGTGATGGGGTGGATTACGGAACGAGGAGACGGTGTCCGGAAGACTTCCAGAATAATTTTAGGCTTTCCAGACGCGCTTTTTCGCTGCAGACTTCACTGGTAGGTTAGCTGGGGTGTACCATTGCAGAGTTATAAAATCCCCGTATCCACTGCTTTGCCAGGACGGCCTTTGACTCCAGCAAATTTAAGGCGCTTATTCGATGTTGACATATTGAAACGATCAGAAGGCAGCCGCTGTGATGGGTTACCTATGGGAATGGGAACATTTCTGGTGGACAGACGATATATACATAGCAAAATCGTGTACCTTTGATTTTGCAGACATTCACCACTCCATGGTAGGAAAAAGCCGCTGCACAAAAAGGACGGGTTTGGGAAGAAAAGGATCTTGTGGACCCCACGGATTTCTTCTTCGACTTAAATTTGTTCAATAAAATTTCCTACATAAGTGTGAAAATGAAAATGTCCTTATTTCCTAGAATCTATTGAAAGTGTTTAAAAAAACTGTTGAAAAAAATAACCCAGCCGAGAATTAGCACTACCATAAAACTCACTCAAGATATCGCAGATATGGTCGCACAACTCCAAGAGGAGGATCACGTGCCGTATTCTCATTTTGGGTCCCTTTTACATCACCCAAACCAGTGTTCTCTGGATTTGGGCACACATTCTCCGTGCTACCGGCGGAAGCCAAATCTTCACTTAGAGAAGACAAATGGCAATTCTTCAAGCTCCAAAATTTTTGACTCTTCTATAAACGTAAAAAATACGCACGTAATGAATCAGTGGATCTGATCGAGCTCGTCGATGTTGCGGTGTGAACGGGGTAGCCTAAATTCCTCCAATATATTCAACAAAATATTGACAAAAAACTAGCACAGTATGATAGCTTCAGCAGATTAACCAGTTTTGGCTGGGGAATAACCGCTGGCCCATTTGTGCTGGTATCAGTGAGATCATGGTTGCCATTTGGAAAAGCCTAAAGACAAGCACGATTTTTTGAAAACCCATCATGTATAATTCGAAGTAGCAGAACGAACTTTCTTCAAAACGGCAAAATACTGCTTCACTTGCTCACTATTGGGGCGCACATCTGGGTCATCATCCCAGCATCTAAAAGAAACACAACAGATAAATTTGTTACCAGGATATTAGGTTGAGTCAGTAACTTAGGTACACTGCCACCTTCTTCTGCAATCAATATAAAATATACGACTGCCTGAAGAACCTGTCTTTCCTTGTTGCATTCTTCTGAAGATATTGAATGAGGAGTGAGCAGTGGCGGCCGAGAAGGGCTAGGGGAAGAAGGCCGTTGGTTTTAGCCGCCTTTCGCGGCCAATTGGTCCTTTTGCAGCATTGTTGTATGTCGTTCCAGGACCAGTAGTCCGGAGGCGGTCCAAACTGGCGGCTTTCGTTCCCCTGCCTTCCGAGAAGTTGCTTTGAGGAGGGGGGGGGGGGGGGGGGGCAGACAACACATTTGCCAAAATGAAGATGCGTGGAGTTAGCCAGGTCTTCAAAAAGTTCTTTTTGGAATGCTTTACAAGTTTTTTGCGGGCCTATACCCCTTAAACCAATTGATGGAGACGTCGAGGCAGCAAGAAAATACAAGGCTAGTTTAAAATTTAAGAATCGAAGTAGAAAAAGTACCGCACAATTTCATACTGCGAGCAAGCCGATTTCACGACTTGTTTCCAAAACGGAAGCCCTGCCTCCCCCTATCCTCGCTCCGCCACTGGAAAGTTATACTCAGTGGTGGTTCTCGTAACTAGCGCAATCGGGTATCATCGATTCCCCGATTCGTAGAGGGGGAGCTTTACAGGCATTTGATTGCTTTAATAAGCTTGTTGAATCTCCACTTTGAAAGCACCTATCAAAAATCTAAAGTGGAAATGAAATAGTATGCTTCTCTTCTTTGAACGCCATTGGGATTAAGTACACCTCCTTAGTTAGGCATTGGGCATTTTTTACACGACTCCGATCGCTGCGCGATCACTCCATCAGACATGTGTTCCTGACTTGTCGCTCTCAAGTATTTGAGATGGGTTCCGCCGCATTCGTGCCAGTTTGTGGGGGCGACAGATCGCATGCCATCGCGACCAAAACACTAAACTGTCTTTCGCTTCTGCTCTTACGTCTTTTTGCGAACAACGGATGTAGTCTATTAATATCTTCTTTTTTAAATATGTATTGAATTCTTCATTTCGTTTACATCCACCGCTTGGCATGCAGCAGACTTCTTCTTCCATTCAGCACATCTTTCCTCATTCTGAATGCGTCGCATATTGTTTAGTTTGTGGCTTTTACACGCTAAATGAGAACTGAAACTGCGATGTAATTTTTATTTTGGGTGTACACTACACGTCTTACACGGTATCGACGTGTTGTGCACAATCTCCGAAGTAATTCTAGGGTTCGGTAGCGAAGTGGCAGATTCCGTGGTTTCCGAAATTTGTCTCCACTGCAATTTCGTCAAGTTGGGACGTGTGCAGCACTCATTCTTTAGTAAAGGAGTGAAAAGGAGTGAGAGATGTTAGACGAATCCAAAAACTCGATAAAAGGGTGCGTTCATTCGGGCGTGACGTGTGAGCCATGAATTTGTGAAAGGTATGCCCAAAATGAGCGACATGCATTAGTCCCGAAGCTATTGGACGCCGAGGCATTGAATGTCCCATCGATGGGAATTGCTACGAGGGAGTCGCTACAGACCGATGCCTTAGGCCTAAGGCATACCTCCAGCGATCCAGTCGTCACGATTTTCGTCGCTGCGACCAAACTGCCTGGGCGACCGTTCATTGCGTCAAAATCGCCCATCGCTCGACTCCTAGGCATACCCGTAGCGATTTTGTGAACGCTCACACACCACACCACATTATACGCAGTTTTGGAAAACTTGCGCTAAATTCTCTGAAGTGCATTTATTCGAGAGGTTTCAAGCAGAATATGGCGCCATATGCCTTAAGAGAACATTACATCAAACAAGAAAGGATATGAATTCACACACATCCCAGTATTTACCAATGTCTACTGGCGCAAAGTTTAGTAGTTACATCTGCGACGAAATCGACTAGTTCATAAAATTTTGAGTTCTCTTTCAGTAACTGGTAGGCATATAGGTTAGCTTTGTTGTAAAATCATTCTTTTGTCTTTTTAGAAAATTCTGAGTAAGCTATTTCAACAACGAGTGCTGGGCGAGCTCTTGTCTGTCAATCTGCGAACGCTGTACAAATCATTCAATTCATTCTCTGACTAAAAGACAGCAAGATTTGCGTACGTTTAATTAACAAGTTTACGAGTAAGGTTCTTGGTGACATATTCAAGCTCGTAAAACAAGCGAGTTCGATCATGTTTATGCACGAATTCATAATAGTGACTTATCAAATCTCGTTAAAACGCACTAGCAACTTATAAACGGGACGTACGCGAAGCGTGCTCGTGCCTCTTAGTCAGACAATGAACGATATATGTCTGAGCGACCGAGATTGCACATCTATTCTATCCACTTCGGAAATTATAGTGGGAACATTTGAGACGGTCACTACTTGTAATCAATAAACAAGAACAGGAAAAGATTAATACATTGCGAGAACAGTAAATGCTAACGGAGAGGGTGAGGAGACATGTGGGAAACATTCTATACTATAAAACTCGCATGTGTTGTTTTCAAGGACTAATAGTATGGAATGTTCGATGACCATCCTTCTCCCATGCAGAGAGGAAGCGCTTGTGTGAGATGGAATAGTCAAATGAAATTTGCGTTGGCAAAAAAATACAAAACTTCATAACAAACAAGAAGCTATCCGAGCGATTCGCTCATCGCTGGGTCGGACCTAGCGACGGCGACATCGCTGAGTCGCGACGATTTCCTGCCGAGGTATGCCCGTCCAAAAACGGTCCGCGATCTGTCGCAATCTGTCGCGGCGTCAATCTAACATAGACGCGGCAGGACCACACTGTCGCGCTGCGGACTCGGAACATATGTCCGATTTGGAGTTTGCGACGCGACTGGGGTCGCGGGAGGCATGCCTTAGGCCTTAGCTGTTCCTCATTTCCGATAACTCTAATTGTGAGTTTTATATGGATACGGTAAGCGGTAGAGTAATGCAGTAGTATATTTCTTACTAATAGGTTCCTACCATTTAGTCCTGCGCTTCCCCTTTTCCAGCATATCGAGCCTTGAAAAGTGAAAGTTCGCACTATCGGTCTCCCTAGTAAATCTGATATCGGTTGAGTGCTTGAGTAGTACGATCAAAGCATACGTCCGTTTTTGGTATGCGCGGGCAAATAACGGAGAACTCACTGATGTACAAGTGATAAAGGCCAAATTCTATTTTAGTTACTCTCAATCCGGACATAAATCTCAATACAACCACTAGAACCAAAGGGATAAGTCCATTTTTTGATTGTCATCAAGATTGTCATCAACCATCTAACAGCGTCATAACCTTCTGGATGTGGCATACAAACAAAAGTCACTGATCCGGTAAGCGCACCTTCGTCGTCCACAGATCTCTCTGGAAAAATTTCGCAGCAGATTTGCATCTCATCGCGCTGAGGTGCGACAATTCGCCCAGAAGTCATACGAGTCATAAGTCATACACCGGTCAAACCGCAGAAAATTTGTAGTTTATTAGTAACTTGCAATACAAAAAAATACACGAAACAAAAATTTCAAAAAAGACACACGAAACACCATTACAATCACGATCAAAATTACGGCTGAACTCTTATGATTACACGTTGGCATCCCGTGTTTCACCCCGGTTTGAAGCCAGTCCGTCGTGTTTGACCTCTCATGCAGCTAAGCTTACCCTTTTTTTGAATCCGACTCGTCTTGGATTCGCTTCCTACCAACCTAACATGTCTTGATGATCAGCAAAACAAAATGAGCTTCGCCGCTCATCCTTCATGACTATGGGCATGTGCATAGACAGGCACACAGACTTCCTGCTTTATATGCATAGAGGTTGCTATCGAATGGCCTTTTCTGTGATGGAGTGACATTTCAATACAGAAATTAGTTATGGAAGCTGTGCATAAGTAATTGCCAGTTTCATTTCTTCTCCGAAGCTCACTGCATAGATGATCTTATTCCAGCACTAGCTTGCTTACTCGGCTCCGTCCGGTTCAGTGAAAATATGATAAAGATTCCATCCTTATCCGTGCAGAATCCTCCCTGTGAAACTTCTCCATGCAAATTCCCTGTCCCCATTTTCTCAGCATGCTCACCTACCCCCTGTGCCAACTCCCAGCCCTCTAGGTTAAACTTTAAAAAATCGATAAAATCGCTAAAAGTAATGGATGAATCCAAAAACTAATACTGTATTCGTAATCAGCATGCTCACTTACCCCCTGTACCAACTCCCAGCCCCGTAGGTGAACTCTGCAAAAAAATCGATAAAATCGCTAAAAGTAATGGATGAATCCAAAAACTAATATTGTATACGTAATCCTCACGCTCGATTACCCCCCTGTGCAAACTCCCAGCCCCGTAACTCAAACTTTTTAAAAAAATCGATAAAATAGATAAAAGTAATCAATAATCCTGAAAACTAATATTGTATTCGGAATTCCCATGCTTGATTACCCCCCTGTGCCAACTCCCAGCCCCGTAGGTGAACTCAGCAAAAAATCGATAAAAATCGATGACGAAAAGTAGCCTATGACACCCGCCGGGGTCCGAAGTTTATGTGTGCCAAGTTTGGTCCGGACGGTTCAGAAATGGATTTTTTCATTCGAAACATACGTACACACAGACAAACAGACATACAGACAGACATACAAACAGACATTCAGCTTTATATATAAGATTTTAGATCCTTTTTTCGCAATGGCTTGAGCTTCGGGGCGGAAATTCTCATAAATATTTACAACTTAAAAATCGAAAAAATTGAACAACTTCAGAACATGAAAGAGAATGTCTAGCGCTACATTGATATTCTTTGATGTACTGCTTCAGGCCCAAATGTTCAGCCATCTCATTCCAGGCTTGTGCCAGATGGAAGACACAGCATTGTGTTGTGCGTTGAGGAAAGTTTTTTCTAACATGTCACTTAACTTGGGTTGGCCTTTTGAAATGAGACACATATATTTAGAATCAGCTCGGAACGCTGATTCCAAATATGCTATCCTTAGCTGCGAAGCGTTTCTATGAAGCGAATTATGCGCTTTTTCCTGAGCAAAGTTTGCGTGCTGACCGACTTAGGCATGCTACGGCATCGTCATCCAGGTAGTAGTTCAAATGCATACAACACCCTATCAAAGCCAAATAATTCAGTTTGATGTTTTTTCGACTTCCCACCACTTTTTTAGGCAGATTTTCATCTAAAGGCCTTCTTTCCATATTCAGTTATATGCCAATTACACAAACTAAAAAGCTCATAACTCGCTTGAGAGGAACGCTTCGCAGCTACTTTTCTGTGAGATTGCTGAGCTTGACCAAGATTGTTATGATAACTTTTATTGGCTGACGTCGACGTTTCGGCGATCTACGCCTTCTTCGGAGCCTGGAAAGCCTGGAAAGCTTCGCAGCCAAGGACAGCATATTTGGAATCAGCGTTCCGAGCTGATTCTAAATATATGTGTCTCATTTCAAAAGGCCGACCTAAGTAAAGTGACTTCCCTTGTAAGTGCCCTTATAGCGACTTGAAATAAAAAAGTTCGAAAAATGAAAGATACAAAAACCTCGTCACCTTCTCATAATCTAGAATCAACATGATATCTCCATTCCCCAATTTTTTTCAGCCAGACAAAAAGAAGCTTGTGAGTTGCGCAATTTTTTCTTTTGATGGCAAACAAAATGATTCCAAAAAATTCCGCAACTTTGAGTTTCTTCATTTATTTCAAAATTCTTGAAACTTTTATCTACACCACGCACTGCGTGGACAATGTATTATTGCCCTTTTTCTATCCCTGCGTGGGCGGTGTATCATTGCCTTCTTTCTCTCCCTGCTTAAATCGTGATAGATTTACCTTAGAATGCCGTTCCCGATCAGTGCCCTCAATGAAATTTCAACAACTCTTTCCAAAAATTCAAGAAAGCAAAGATAATGCCGCGAGCATCTACCGCTACAATTACATCGGAGTAGTAAATATGAAAATGACAACTGAACTTGTAAAAACTCAATCCTCTCCATCCGGTACTCTTGATCCAATCTAATAATTACTTAGATATCCTATTTTTTCATTCCTTGTTTGTGTACTTTTTGTATCACAAGTTACTAATAAATTACAAATTTTCTGCGGTCCTGATCGATACACAATTTGTGGCAATTGCTCGATCTCTAAGGGAATTCTCGCAACTAGGGTCAAGCGTGCTGATGCGATCCGGGACCCTCATTTACAACCCCCCTTGAAGGTACCCATCCGTACAACCTCCCCCCTTCCCCCTCCCCCCCCCCCCCTCCCCACCCTCACTCATTTATCCCCCTTACCTCCTCTGCCCACATTGCTCGCGGTAACCTGCATAAACGAATGTCAATCTCAAAAAACACCTGCGTGAGAACTTCAGTGAGGTTTCGGAAGCAGAATTTCTAGGCCAATGGGTGCGTCCATCATCTGTAGCACACATACACACCTTTGATAATGTTTGAGATTCTGCAAGTTTTTTTTGAGTTTTCAGGCATACTTCAGGCCAGCAAATTCGATTCCCGTAGGCGACACAAATTTTTGCATGGAGAAAAAATGACATTCTTGAACTACAAAAGATGTTTTCGGCTAAGAAGCTTACTTCTTACCTCTTCCTCAGTTTTTCCCGCGAAAAAAACCGCTTGAGCGCCGTCCAGAACGACGTCAAAAACGTGCATGAGCACGGTAGTTTGAAAATTCGTAACTAAGGCCAGGAAAAGACAGAGAGGCTGCAAAGCACAGGTTCTGTAGTTTAGTGCCCAGACTAGTTAAAGAAAAAGTTTCAGCTCTTGAGGAGCAGTAAGTTCGAAAAAATCTAGATGCGACTCTCGCAAATTTAGATGCGATCCTAGAAAGCAAAAAGTGGGATTTTTGAGCTTGAAATTTTGTAACTTACCAGAGAAGTTATAAAACAGCCTGCAATTTTTACGAGGGAAAGTAGGAGGATGGCCTTATCTTACTGCAAAATTGCAGCCAACAAGCTTCAATAGCTCCGAAGAAATTTAGATGCGACCCAGATACGACCCCCCTCTCCTAACTTTCTGCCCCGCTCGCAACACAGCGCGATGAGGTGCAGGCTGCTGAAAAATCTTTCCGCGAGAAATTATGGACGACGAGAGCACTTACGGTGACTCAGCCGTGGCACTGATGCCAGCTCCTCGCGGCCTGCTGCGGCACAAAGCGGCTGCCTGGGTAACACTTGCTGCATCCGAGCGCTGATATTACTTACGATAGAACGAGTCTTGAAGTTTGAAAGATCTCTGAATTTATCCAGAAAGGTCACATGCTTGTTAAGTGAAATTTGTTAAGTGAAATCACAATACAGGAATCACTGGCAACACTTGAGGCCTTATATAGTATAATGTTGCATTAGGCCTTCTTTTCTAGCCTTCTCTCGAAACTTATTTAGGTCCCAATATTCTACTTTAATTCCATTTTCTGATAAATCGCAGTGATTTTTTGATTTGTTGAGTTGTAGAAACATCGCGTTTTCAGGTGTTTCAGGTAACACCACGACACTGCCATTATCGCGGAGCAAAATGCATGCCATTAGATGGTGTAAACCTCCACAAATCTAATAGCTCCCCTCTGTTCTCTTTACAAGGAGGGGCTACTCAACAAGTCAGCGCAAGGAAAGCTCCAGACATGTCCCAAAAAAGCTCGCCAAAGAAAAAGCGAGACTGGCGGCAGGTTGAGGTTCAAAATCAAGATCTTCAGTTTAAACCAAATGTAGATGACTCGCAAAATGATCGAGAAAATATCCATTTTTGGTAGTAATGAAGTGGGACACATACGCTTTGTAAAATCGTGAAAGCAGAGGATCACAAGAAAGTTCCGGTGGTCGCAGTATGTTCCGCGCCACATTGAAAACCACAAAACAACGGTCTCCTTGGTACGGAGAAAGCCTGAAAGGGATGATAATAGTTAGCGTGATCACACATCTGTTGCAAAGAACGAACCGCCTGGCGATGACTTGCCACATAATGATGCCAAAACTATAAATGTCGCACTTTTCGTCGTAGTGTTTGAAAGCTCGAATAACTTCAGGAGCCATTGTGATAGGTGTTCCCTTTTCCATAGTCATTGATTCGTGCAAAGTAGTGTAAGTGCCAAAATCACAGACTTTCAAGGTATGATAACCATTGCGAAGAAGAAGACTGAAAAGATTAGAAGGCAATATGTTGAACCAATGTTGAGGTAGAGAAATTTCACAAACTACTTTGACTTCACTTGAGGAATATCGGTGTCAAGACAAAAAAGTGCAAGGTGCGTTAAAGAAAGTGTATTAAAAGCAAATGAGATCATATTTCCTTGCATATTCCTGAGCAATCAAGGAAAAATTGGCTGATACGAGTTGTTTTTTGTCTTCGCAAAAACGAAGCTTCATTGAATTTGAGAAGGTTTACAAAGTCTTTTTAGCTTACTTCATTCCTTGTCCTCTTTTCAATGATAACATTGACCGAAAACGATCCTGCCTCAAAACTATTCTTTTTCCGACATTAGCTTTTTCTTACAAGTAATTGAGGCGCATTTTCCGCGGATTCGCAACCTTTCGAAGCTGGTACACGTCTAGGGTCCTCAACTGGATAACATATAGGCTGTAGCAACCAGCATCGGTTATGCGACGTCTCGCGGCAACTTGCGACGGTACGGTGTGATGCGTGCGAAATTCACCACGCGTTAAAGGCAGTGTCCGGGCAGAAACTCGACTTCTAAAAAATCAACTTATCTGGGGTTATCCGCAACGCTGAATCCGAAAATCCACATCAAAAGGCGCGAAATCGGCGAGAACATGCATTTTCCAAGTCCTCACATTTCGAAATTTGGGGATCCCCGCCAGGCTAAGACGCAGAGGTTGCAAAGAGCGCACGGTTTTTAACTGTGGCGGCATACGTACTCTGCCGTCTGGCAGGAATTCAAACAACTCGGAAGACCCCGCCCCAAGGCGTAAGTTTCCCCAATTTGCAATCGTTTTTCTTGCTTTAGGTCGAACGTTTTATGCTCGCAGTTGCGCGATGTTGTGTCTCAGGGGGGCTACTTTCACATGGCAGAGAAATCTCAGAACCCCCATTTTGCCCGGACACTGCCTTTAAGGCACGTCGCACGTGACGATGCGTACTCGCAAGGCATACCAGCGCGGGATCAATGCTACTGATACAGCCTATATCTGATACGAGCTCCTCTGCGAGCGGTCGTTAAAGAATTTCTTTCAGCAAGAGCTGGCCAAATCAGGACTGTTATTACGCAGTTTCGGGCATACGCCGAGCATAGGTAACCTCAAATGGCAAAGGTGTCATCGCTGGGTTTGATTTCCCGAGTTTAGGGTACTTTCTCTCGGCGGAAGGTACCTACAGGCTGTGCGGTCCTTCTAGGACCTTGCGGCCCTCAACTTGCATGTTCTCGAGTCCGCGAGGATGCGGCCACTGCGCCACAATCAATTCATGAAAAAGCCGCGTTTGTTCTCTAAGCGTTCGTCTAAAAAGTGGCCGACATTCTTCCGAATCTCTGCGAGCTGGCCGCAAGATATCAGCAGACTATTTTTCCGGTGCCTGCTTGCCTATAAATAGCATAGCCGCTTATCCTCGGCGATTCTTTTGATATGTTCCTTCATGCAGCATATGGTAGATCTTTTTTCTAGCTTTCGTTTACATCGTACCTTCGCTCGGAAGCAGCGTCCGGGCAAGTCGTGTGAATACTTCTGCTTACCTACTTTAACCTTTCCGCTGTATTCCAAAAATCAGCTTAAAGAGCGCGAAACTCTCAAAAACGATCTTATTCAAAAATCTGGATTTTTCATTTGGAGGTATGGACGCAATGTCTGCAATGGCGGTGACAACAAAAGGATGAACATCGCAGCTTTGAGCGGGATGTGTTCGATCTACGTAAGTTGTCGCTCCGTCTCGCAGTTCTCAAGTCCATTGCTGTTTTCTCTTCTTCAAAACAAAGTTTCAATGGAAGAGTTGTGCAGCTGAAGAAAAGCCTTACAAGGCCGTTGCTTTTCGTTCCAATTCCTATATCCAAATTCCCCTCAATAATCCCATTCTAGTGACATCCGCTTTCTCAAAGTACTATTTAGGTACTGCTATTGTGTGCGAACCTTCAACTGCTCAGAATTATCTGCATGAACTTCCAAACTTTACAGAGGGGAGATGGACTACGCGGAGCAGAATTCACCGTTTGTATTACTGAATAGTTATGTAAGAGATACTCACTTTTGTAGCTTCAAATCTCTATGAACTTGCTCCTTACTGTGAAAAAAACTTATTGCATCTGACAACTGATACAGCCAAGAAACTGCGTGATCAACTTCGTATTTGATAGACTGCTTTGAAATAACTAAAATACCATTTTATTATATTTGAATCAAATGCTATTTATTGGGTAACTCACGCCATGCAAGACTGCAATCCATCAATTCCATAACTATGCCCGTACCATTCAGAGGACAATCGTAAAGCCCGAAGAATTTTATGCAATTTTTGTGATTCAAATAGGTATAGAAGATCTTGGCTTCTCGAACTAAGGCACTGCGATAAGCAGAACTTGCGTACTTTATTGCGACGTCTCTGAGAACAAACACATTGAAAGCTCAGAAAAGCTCTTGCTGCACGATGAAAAAGGATTAAGAACATTCCTGCATATATATACAGGGTGCGCCAAAAATCTTGGTTTGCGAAACCGGTTCACAACAAAACAAGCAAGAAGTCAATCTTTATTACATGTCACATGGGGCCAAACCTTTGCGATAAGCAATTTGAGATTCCAAAACGGTATAACCTTTGAATCAGCTGGCTTTGCAACTGGAAGGCGGGGCTTTGTAACCTAAATAAGGCCGCTGGCGTCCGCTACTCTGCGTCTCTCCCGCGCGCGTGCTCTCTGATCATTATACCTTGCCTTAATTAAGTCACGAAGCTTCGCCTTCCAGCCGCGAAACCAGTCAAATCTAATATATAAAGAATCGTAAGCGCAATTCAAAAATGTGCACATAGCGGGAAACCAAGTGGTGGTCCCGTAGCGCGCGCATGCTAGCACCTTCAATTGCTGGTTCACTAGTCAAAGATAATATTTGATGTCTGGTCTCTAAGAAGCAATATTCGCGAGATAAAAAACGCGTGCTCATACAAATTGTTTCGTTGTAAGTGTCACAGCTCCAGCGTTCGGACCCACTCGGCCCTTTCGCCCCGCGTTGAACTGCGTTTGCGGATTAGGAATAGAGGAATAGGGAATGGACAGAGAACGGACATCCTCACCTTGAAGACGATAAAAAGAGATAGAATGTTTCGAAGTGCAGTGCTTACCAAAATTGAGGTAGCGGACATCTCCAAAGATATTGTTAGAGGACCGGCTAACTAGGTCAAAGCCTGAGTCTCATGACGCCCTCCCTATGCCGAGAAAACTGCACTCAAAGTGGGCGAGGACAATTGCGGCCGCACTGGAAGACTCGCGGGCTACCTATTTGGCGGTTCAACGCTTTATTCCGAGCGACACTTCTTGATATGGTTGACTTTGCGATGCAAGTTAAGCATAGGGGCTTATCACGTTCGAGTTGTCTCTACGGGTCTTTGAAAAGCGAGGTTTTTAAAACTTTCGGTACTTTTCCGTTATCCGGACCCATTTTTTCAAAGAAGGATATTGCTTCTTTCCTTGTACCATATTTGCTCCTAAATTCACAGGAAAGGAGTGTCAACTTTCTGCCACGTGTCAAAAAAATTTGATATGTCATCCACATGTTTAGCAGGTTTTACCAAGAGTTTGTATTGCCCTACCTACTGACTTAAGTCCAATCGATTTTTCAATCAATAATGACCCCATTTTCGAGTAAACAGTTTCAAAAATAAATATCATTATGATTATGACCTTGTCCTATTATTAATGAACAGACTGGACTTGCTCAGAATAGAGAATTTTGATAGATTCTCATCATTTTAGCAAGCAGTAGCGAGGTACTTCAGCCATCATTTACAGTCCTTCTTGGCTAAAATCGCATAGCGGACAGAGTTTGAAGAGAAAGTCATTTTCGAATTATCCCTAACAGCAGTAAATGTCCTAATATAAGTTTAAATTGTTTTTCTCTTACAGAAACCTCTAGACAGCTTTTAGGTGATCATAAATGCTCTTTTACCTCACCGGGAATACTTTCGAAAAAAACATGTCAATTTGACCAAAACGTGTCAATTTTTTTCTGACACGTGGCAGGGAGGCGGCCCTCGTAGAATCTATAAAAAAATTGTTCTCAAATCAAATAGCGCATTCATGAAAGCCTTTTAAAGAATGGGTCCGGATAACGGAAAAGTACCAAACTTTCAAGCAAGTTGAAACCCATATAGATTTGGTTAATACGGTCGATAAGGCATGTATTACGAAACATACCGAGACCGAAATTTTGGTGAAGCTTTGCTTTTATAGGCAGCGTCTGCTTTTATAGGCAGATTTAAAACGTAGAATGTTATGAAGCTCGTCGTGATTAAGCTCTTGCCCAGGTGGCACGTATAAACTCGAAAACATGGGTACGAAATGCATTCCAAAGATTCTCGAGAGAACAGCGGTGAGCGCAAGTTGCACCGTAGTTGAATACCACGACAAAACTGTAGGCTGCTGCATGATGAAGGCGCAATAACTTTGGGTGCGAATGCGGCTGTGTTAGCCGCAGAGCGCATGAGGCAGGATTTCCAACGGTGTAGATACGCGCGCCGCTTTCGCGACCGCTTAACTGATATTGCTTCTGCGCCTTCGTCATGCAGTAGCCTTTATGTCTCGTGCTAAAGTTCAGATATTCTCCCGGCCCGCATGATTGCGGGAGAGTTAGATTGTCTCAGGCAGTCTCCCGATCAAAACGCCGGCCCGAAGTTTCTCGCGACAGATTTGATTGAGTCCTTAGTCATTCTGCTGCTACATAAGTTTTCTATGCGCGCGAGTTAACACGAATGTCTGAGGAGCCGTCATGTTCGTTTAAGAGGAAGCAGGCTTGCAACATTTTTGTGCATCCTGTAGGTTCACATCTTCAAATTGGTCTACTGGGGCATCAGTACTGATTATTGCCTCATTTAAAAAAGCATTTGAAGAGAATGCATAAACCTACTTCCACTGTAAGTCACTGTTATCGAGGTATTTACATTTGACTACGCGACCGAATGTTCCTTCACCCAACAGCGTGCTATCCAGATCGTCGATTTGACTGCAAATGGATGATATATAGAGCACGATTACACAAAGATGATGCAATTTGCAAGAAAAAAAATGCTCGCTTTCTTGGCTGAAAGGCAGAAATAGACACGCATTTCTTCAAGACGAAAGGAGAAAAGCCCTTTTGAAGGAGCATTCCGATAAGCGGCATGTTATAGCCCTGCTTCATGAAAAGGTTTTTTCAATAACACTAACGAAGATTATTCCCTATAAGCTATAACAAGCGACAAAACGTAATGACGGCACCAAATCTTTCTCCACCTTTGTGGGGGGGGGGGAAGAGGGAGGAGGAGGAGGAAAAGAAGGTGGGTATTCGACGTGCTGCACCTCACCCTTGACCCTGTTTGTTTGTTCATAGCATGCAGCGTGAACCAAGGAAGGAAGACTGTATCGGCTTTAAATTACAATTATTCATAGAAACGTTCCTTCAGACAGCCGCTGCAGCGGCATACGCGCGCCTGCAGAGTTCCCGTTTGATAGTGCTGTACCGGCGCGTGTACTCGCCCCAATCAATCAGATTCCAGACAAAGTGAGAACAGTGCTGGAATGGAGCTGGCACGGGCAACTTTGGACGAGTCTTAGGGTGCTATCATCTTATACAGGGTGTCCTAAGAAAATGTGAACACTGTTTGATCGTTAGTAACTTCCTTGCTTTGATGTTTTTCGCTGACTTTTAGGTATCATTGGTACCACTCTTTAGAGCGAGGTTCAAGTTACAGTGTAGAGCAAATCAGCGATCGGTCTTTGTCTCTGTAGAGTTACGGTAAGAACTTCTATAGTTGAAACGACCGAAAAATTTCGTCGAACGAGTGAACTTCGAATAATCGACTTTCAAAATATATTCGAATGAACCTATATTATTCGAACTGTGTTTTTCAGGCTATTCGAATTCGAATATACGAATAATGCTACATTTCAAAATTCGAATGAACGAATATTCGAATAAATGGGGTTGATCGAATATTCGACTATTCGAATAATCAAATGATAATACAGGGTGCGCCAAAATTATCGGCGCATGTTTCCTTGGGTGCCAGAAGGATACTAAACGGGCTTGAAAACGGATCGAGTATGCGTTTGTTTTCACTGACTATCATTATCGTAATGACATAGTCAAATCAGAATTTGTTTGCTTTATCCCTCAAAAAAACCCCAACTTCTCTCGCCGCCCGAAGTGCGCTTTGTACGCAAGCATGACTTTGAGAAATTACGTAACATCTTTTTAACAACATTTCCTCTTGCTTTGTAATTGCGCACAAAAATAGAGCAAACCTTCAGCTCTAATACAGCTAAGCATGGAAATTTGAAAATCAATCCGAAGAGAGTTTCCGATTATTCAAAAACATGGTTGAGAGGCGGCATAACGAAAATTGGCGTGATTTTGACCTTGCGGCTTAAGATCAGAAAATGTCTTCTAAATCAGGTTCAAAACTACCTCAGTTAGTCGCTTCCTCTTAGATGCTCTTCTACTTGTCTCACAAATAGGAAACTATTTTTACCTGAAAGGTTTTGGATATCTGGGACCTAATAATCAATTTTGAACATAAGGTCATTACTCGTACACAGATATTTTCGCAAACACAATTTCTCATTTCGTGAAGGAACAAATTCTGCAAATGCAACTAGACCTTTGTGATAGTGCGAATTGTGCTTTACAACCTCAGCTTGGAGGGGCTTAGAAACGCTTTGAGTTTATTAAGTTACAGAGCAAATTATGAAGGTGTAAAGATTTCATTTTTGCCTTCCTTGAACATACCGGTCTAATTCTTTTAATTCTCAAATTCTTAAAAAGAGGTCTTTTTGGATTAAATAAAATGTCTTTTGTAGAGGTTGATTAGTGCCTTCTATAGCACAAATTTGTGCAAAGTAACTCTCAATGGTTCCTCGTGACAGTGTTTGTAAATTTGGCGCCGGTAATTTTGGCGCACCCTGTATATGGTCGAATATTCGACTATTCGAATACTCGAATAATTACACATGGTCGAATATTCGACTACCCAATAGTTCAAATGATCTAGCACCTCAGACAATCCTGTTTTTTTTATCTTTGTTGCAGTTTTCTGCATAAAAATTGATCGCTATATTCGATAGATTTGTAGCTGATAATTGTATGTGTAGCAAGTGGTAAGGATGACTGGGTTATTGTCACTTGATAGCAGAGGTGCGATGGGTGGAGCCGGGCCCACCAAAAGTGAAGGTGGTCCCAACTACCACTGGCCGGCCAAAAGTGAAGGTGGTAATGCCGGACACTCACCTCCCAAAAACGTCGACCGGGGGGGGGGCGTTAACGTCGACTGTCTATCCTTCCAGGTCGTTGCCGCCAGTGCACCGAAAATAAACGCAAAAAAGATCATGAAAGCATATTTTCATGTATACGGCGGCATATGTGTTTGAAATCAACGTGTTTAGTAAATGGTGAATTTGAAAGTAAAAGTTAGCAGGAGTGTGCGGATTTTATTATGGAAATTTTGTTATAAAGTACAGCGAAGAAAGTAGATCGATCTAGGCACTAACCGCCGAGAACCAGAATTTCGAATGATAAAATAATGAAAAATCGTGAAAAATCATTCCACTGTTACAAAGCTGCTGGCTGAAGACCTCCGCAGTTGCGACTTCATAGGTTTTGAAGGGTAAGTGATTGTCCCACCAGACAGCGAAAGAATCAGTTTGATTTGAGGAGTGGCCGCCGAGAACGAGAATTTTGAAAACCTCAAAAATCTTCTCAATTTTAGGTTGCTTAATGACAACTGACATTTAAACTCTTATGAATCTGGACTTCGAAGATGTGTGATGTTGCGACTTCATAGCTTTTGTAGGGTGAGGTTTGCCCTATCAGAATATATCTGTACCGATCCATTGAAACATCGCCGAGATACAGGCTTTTAAAAAAGCAGGTAAAAAACCGTTTTTCAGCTCATAATTCTTCAGAACCGCATGAATCATGTTGCGACTTCATAGGATAGATTCTCCTCTTCAAGAGCTTTCAGATGATATATAATATGTGGGGGATTCACGCCTCCCACGGCATGTGCCCGGGGTGGGTACCTCTCTTCACTAAGGCTCGTATGCACTAACATTTCTGCGGCGGGGGGAGCGGCGTCCCCCGTTATGAAGGGACCGCGTGCGGACGCCGCTGCGGCTTTTTTATCATTGGGGACACCGCTCCCCTCGCCGCAGGGATGTTAGTGCATGCGGCCCTAATTCTCCACTGGCGGCCTCCCTCCAATACATTGAAATGGGCGGGGTGGAGAATTAGTGAAGCGGAGTACTCCACCCCGGGTTAGAACCGCAAGAAACATTGAATCCCCTACATATTATATATCATTTAAAAGCTCTTGATGAGGAGAATCCAACCTATGAAGCCGCAACATGATTTATGCGGCTCTGAAGAAGTTATGAGCTGAAAAACGGTTTTTTACCTGCTTTTTTAAGAGCCTGTATCTCGGCGATGTTTCAATGGATCGGTACAGCTAAGATATATTTTGATAGGCCGTACAAAACCTATGAAGTCGCAACATCATATACCTTCAAAGTCCGGATTTATAAGAGTTCAAATGTCAGTTGTCATTAAGCAACCTAAAGTTGAGAAGAGTTAAGGTTTTTCAAAATTGTCGTTCTCGGCGGCCACTCCTCAAATCAAACTGATTCTTTCGCTGTCTGGTAAAACAACACTTACCCTTCAAAACCTATGAAGTCGCAACTGCGGAGGTCTTCAGCCAGCAGCTTTGTAACAGTGGAATGATTTTTCGATTTTTCATTATTTTATCATTCGAAACTCTGGTTCTCGGCGGTTACTACCAGGATCGACCTACTGCACAGATATATGCTCTTAATACTTTTTTTTACATTCCTTTTGCTTAATTTCCTTCTTTTGAGCTTTAGCAAAAAAAAATTTCAAACGCAAAAGTGAAGGTGGTCAGCCTGTACCAGCTCAAAAAGTGAAGGTAGGCGGAGAATCGGCTCCGACTATCGCACCTCTGCTTGGTAGTTCCACCTGGGAAACAGAAAAATCTTACTCAAACATGTAGTTCAAGGTGTTCATTGTTTTTTAAGAGGGCTACTAAGCCTTACTCACAAGGGAATGATCAGAAATTGAAGTAGGTAATCCAGACAAGCTGCATACCATTAGACGCAGCACGAAGCGCTGACTCTAAATCTGTCTTCCTTACCTACTTATCGCTTTTCTGGACGAAGCTATAAGCCATTAAAGACCATTATTTTGCTAACAAGGAAACGATACTTGGTGACCCGGCCATGTGGAATGCGATGTATACCATAAGGTGCATCTCGAAACGCGGATTCTAAATCTGTGCTCGAAATCTGCGAAACGATCATTTGAAGGCAGTTGTGAATTTTTTTCGTAGAAAATTTGCGTTCGTTTAGGTAGTTGAAATCATCCAATTTGATCTATTTTACCGTTTGAAGCTATTGAGGAAAATTTTGAAAGGTGTAACGGTGTATTTATACCTAGCTAAACAATTTTCGGCATTTGAAGATGAAAGAAAAATTTTTATTAATGATTTTCACCCTTCGTCGTAGCGCAATTCATTTTCAAAAAAATAATGGGGTAACCAAGTATCGTTCCCTGCTAAGAAATTATGCGTGAAATTGAAAATTTAGCCGTAGAGAGCCACGTTCGCCTTAGTACTGGGCCAAAACATGCAGCTAGCTTAACTTCAAATTTTTAAAGTCAGAAGCTGAACTGAAAGTCAACAATGTGCTCAATTTCGCCGTTTCTATGTATGACTTTTTCACAATATATCCGCCTGTAGCTTCGTCCACAGAAGCGATAAGCAGATAAGGAAGACAGGTTCGAAGACAGCGTTTCATAATGCATCAAATACATACAGCTTGTATGGTTTGGTCACTTCGACTTCGGACCATCCCCTTGTTAGTAACCGTTCAAGTCCGCATTTATTCTTCCTCACAGAGGTCTATCGAAGTTACACAAAATTTCTCAAAGCTAAAAATTCAACGTGGAAAACCTTTTAG